GCCATCAGCCAAATATGAAGATTCTATACCTTTCAGTTCTTCTTCAGAAGTCGTTTGAAGTGTTTGACACATTTGACCCCTGTGACCTTGAAAGTAGGTCAAGGTCATTTTCGTTCTCAAACTTAGTAGGGCTCCTACCAACGAAGCTTTCAGCCAAATATCATGACTCTAGGCCTGTCCGTTCTTCAGAAGAAGTTGTTTAAAGGAAAAGTTGACGGACGAGGACGGACGGACGGACGGACGACGGACGCCGCGCCACGGCATAAGCTCACTTGGCACTTCGTGCCAGGTGAGCTAATAAACAACAAGAGGCTCGTAGGTTTTGTATTAATAAACTGAATTACAATGTACTAAGCAATCATAATTAAATTAAATGCACCATGTATTTTCAAATTTTGGCTCGGTCTCTCGCTCCGTCCTGGAGGTCAAGACCTTTCCTTAATCATGATTCGATTCACTGGTACGTTATAGTAAGTTTGGGTGAAATATGAACAATTATTGTTCAGGGGGAGTATTATTTCAAATACTTATCCACTCAAACTACCACGTTTTTTTGCACAACCCCATCAGTGAACAGTGACTTCCATAAGCATCATTTATAAATCAGGAAAAGTTTCACACACTTTTGTGACGGCTACCGTTACAATTAGAACGTGTAAGTTTATTAGTTGACTTAAGTAGTGCTTTTTCTTTGCAAAACCACGAAAATGTCTGTACAAACACACTTCGATAACGAGGAATAATTAAATTATGATCCACGGTCGTGTTGAAAGGTTTCCTGATTCCTGAAAAGGGCAGAATGGTAGTATCCTATATCTATAATGTGGCCTTATCTAGTTTCCTAGGACGAGTGGCGCTGCTACGGTCGGGCATTATAAACAAAGGATTTATTTCACATATTAATGCTATCATATACGAAACAATTGAACCTTCCTAAATATCGTTGCACTGTTTTACACTCGAAACAAGATGGCTGACACGAACAATATTTTGGCGAGAGCCGCTTAGCACATATACAACACACAACATACAACAGCAGCTCAGACTTCTGTATGCAGACACATACTGATTGTATACTAACAATATTATTCATCATTTGTTGCTTATTTGTTTGCAAACTTGACACGAGTTCATACTGAAGCTCTAAACCGTTCCCAAGTTAACGGAGCACTTGGGTTGTCACATCTGTTCGGTACCCATTTGTAATGTATCAGTGAAGCAGGCATAGGTTGGCCAAAGATGTTTCATCGCTCTTTTCTGAAAAGATTCTTCATGGGTGTTTTTTCGAATTAAAATGTGTTATTCAAGTTTTAATCCGTGTCACTTGTCTGTTTACAGGAGCGGCCGGCGTGCTCGCCAATGCCTTCACCGTAGTGACCTTTATGAGGGAGACTCCAATTAGCTCACCTCGTCACATCCTGCAGCTCAATATGGCGGTCGCCAACCTCCTTGTCTGCGCACCGTTCCCCTTCTCGGGGTTGTCCAGCTTCCGGGGAAAGTAAGTAATAATAATCAAAGTACACGTAACTGTTTGTGGTTGTCACTTAATTTCTCTGGCATGTTCTAGCATGCGGTTGTCATTTAATCATGTTCTAGTATGCGGTTGTCATTTTATCATGTTCTGCACGAGGTTGTCAGTTGCTCATTTTCTAGCACGTGGTTGTCATTTAATCATGTTCTAGCATGCGGTTGTCATTTAATCATGTTCTAGCAATCGCAATCGCAAACTTGGGGAGAGGTTATTTAGGCGAGTGTTATTCCAAGATTATGACCATTTATACGAAATGTGGTCATGTATGCCTTTTTATAGCGAATGTTATGTAATAGTTAAGTTCAATCTGTGCACAGTAGACAAAATATTTAAATCTTGCTCGACATTTAAACTTGGACAAATGTATAACCAGATATCCACCATTCGTTAGAAAATCAATAAGTGCACAAAATTTATAAATATACAACGTTGGTTTTCTATTTCCTTCGAATCATTTGTAAGTTTATAAGTTTTTGGAGAAAGATAATCATTTCCGCAACCGCGAACGATAAATAACTGTTATGAATGCGTTCACCAATATAATACACTGATGATATCAATAGAAAATAGGGAAAATGAAAAATGAAAAAATGTTATCAAAATCATCTTTAAACTTGATATCCGTAATATTTATAATTTTGATTATCATAAATGCCACTACGACGTTTGAGCAGGTCATGGCAACTGTGCTGATACAGCTAGCAGAAGAATCCACACTAGGCGCCTAATACTATCACGCTGTCTACATAGGTATTGGAATGACGCTACATGAGCTGTGCCAACCTCTAAAACTATTACAATACTATAACATTCGTTTGGCCCTGTCTGACCTCCGGTACCAAATTGAGTAATAGTGCATAACTGAGGTGAATGAATGCAACAATGCTGAGGTTTTCATAGTAGTAGTCACACTTCTGCGAGGCTGTTACCATGAAAAGGAACAAGTAACTTCTTCTAGATCGGGGTCTCGGTCGACTATTCGGCAGCATGGCGAACAAGACAGCAAGGGACCCCTGTGGTGTACTTTCTGTTTTCATCGTCCCATCTACTGATTTAGTTTCAAAGTGTAATGATGTGGGGGAAAAAAGTCGGTTGAAAGTAGCCACTGAAGACTTCCCCGGTGTGACAGCCACATGCAATCTGTGACCAAGTACACAGTCGATGACATCCATAAGTAGGCAATATAAATCAAGAATATTCACAGTCAAAATAGCCGAAACTAAGGCATAATTTTTACAAAGGAAAGATTTACGTGGAGACCTTGAACAATTACAAGGATAATAAGACCAGGCGTTTCAGAAGAATAGGCGACGATACCCTCTATGTAAATTTAGGTCAGATCGAAGTAATGTCACGTCCTTGAAGCGAGAACTAGGATAGTGACCACGAAACTACATTGCATACAAATACTGATAATCCTTCATGTAACATAAAGACAGTGAATAATAGCGATTGGAACATGATGGCGATCGTTTACTTTATGAACACACAAACTCTAGAAACCAAGTGTACCCGGAGAAAGCCACGAAATACCATATCAACGGCGACATGCGTAACAGCGTATGTTGGGAAAGCTCAAGTGGCTTGCTTCTCAACTTGAAGGAATGTCATTGAAAATATATAAATCGCGCCATCATTTTCCGATCTCTGAGTGAGGCCGCGGTGTTTTCACCATCTCCTTGTGTTATTCCATCAAAACATTTATAGTTACATTCCTATTTTTTTAGCAGCACTGCAAATCTACTACAGGGTCCTTTATATACGAACGCCAGTGTGATAATATATTTAGATTAGCCTGCATTACTGATTACTCTTGTGAATGTGGGGAACATCAGGTAAACGACGTCACATATTCAGATACCCCTTATATAACAATCTGATCGAAACCAAATGATCATTGACGTAATAGATATTAGGTTGGCAGAGTTTCAATGACAGCTGTTTCGAACACGCCTCGTTTCAAAATACTTTAAGAGGAGCAGAACATGTCGATACTTATTTACATACAATGATGTTTGTAGGTGGCTTTTTGGTGACCTGGGATGTCAGCTATACGGTACCGAATCGTTCTTAGGCGGAATGGCAGCCACGACCTTTATCCCCGTCGTCTGTGTAGAACACTACCTGGCAAGCTGCAAGAAAGATTTCTGTAAGTACACTACATAGTTGAAGAAGGATTATCAGCATGTACTATAATTTGTACCAATGTCACTATTGTATTGGTCAGGGCTAGTACTACATATGTACCATTAAGTGTTTAATCACAACTAAAACATTTTTTCAGACCATGAATAGCAAGATAACACTGCTGTAAAATATAGTTGCTATCTTTATTCTTCCCATTGGGTACAGTGTTATTTCACGTAACCAACCTATAAACCGTTAGTATGATAGCTGCGTGTTTTGTTTTCAGACGACACCCTCTCGAGTGGTACCTGGTGGACGGTCGCTATGCTCTGCTGGATGTATGCCGCCCTCTGGGCTATTCTGCCTCTCTTTGGTTGGAACAGGTAAGACTAATATTAATATCAAGGTTGATATAACAAATATTCATTCAGTACAAACGACGGAATGACAACAAGAAATAAAACAGCCTATATACATTATGGATCAAATTCAACCGGATCCTTGCATTGGTGTTCGGAAAACCTTCAAACGACATAATTTTGTATAGACTAGTGAAATTTCAAAGTTACTTAATAAAAGCAGCCTGGAGCAAGTTTTGATGAACGTAGATGAGAGTAATATCATACATATCAGTTTTATCTTCCTTTAGCTATGCAATTGAATCGTCTGGGGTCGCCTGTGGAATAAACTGGCTGAAGAAGGATTCCAATCACATGACTTACCTGCAGGCAATGGTTATCACGGCCAGTATTCTCTATGTCATGGCATTCTACGGCCTGTATCAATCACGTGTCCACTGGGACAGCGTACAAGTAAAATCGGACCCAAAATCGGACGCCAACAACTGGTTCACAGAGAGGCAGCAGGCATGGGTACGTAAAAGAGCAGGTTTATCCAATCCGATTAGGAAAACTCCTTCGTATATAATAACTGCACTATCCTGTATCGTATCCTTAAATCAGAGTTATTCTTATTCTTAATATATCACAGCTGGTTGTATTTACAGATCTGCCTTGCGTTCATGTGCATCATGTTTATCGGATTTGGACCGTATGCCATCCTTGGTCTGTGGGCGGCATTGACGGATAGCACCACCGTGTCAACACTAGCCATCATCATCCCTTCCCTCGCCTGCAAGGCCAGCACCTCTCTCTACCCTATTCCCTACCTCGTGGCTAGCGACAAGTTCCGTGCCGCCTACCTCGGCTATCGTGTCACCGAACACGAGGCCAAAACCAACTGATGATACATTTGTGGTATTTGGAAAAGGGCATGTAGTGTAAACCATTACAGAGGCGTGATGAACGATTAACTGTGTATAGCGATATTTTTTCTTGTGAAGAATGTTTATTGGACAGAGCTTTGTGAAGTTTAACTAAGACAGATTTCACGTCCTATTTGAGACCGTTTATGTTTGTAACAGTGAATATGGAGATTCTTACTACTTACTTGACCGGGGATGAACAGTAACGTTGGGATAACATTGACCTATGATTGTTGTGTTATTGTCGTTAGCTCAATCGGCACGAAGTGCATGTGATGGCGCAGCGTCCGTCGTCAGTCAGGCGTCAATTTTATCGTCTTCAAGTGTATGTAAATAACATTGAGTCACTTTCAAATTCAACGGTGTTAAATGTGTTAAAACGGCTTCTTCTGAACAAGCTTATAGTCATGATATTGTACCGAAAGTATGTTGGAGTAAGGGAATGAATCACTTTGGCTCAGTTTCAAGGTCACCGTATATAAGTGCGATATCTATCCCGTAGCAGTCTGAAGTGTATGACTATCATGCTTGTTTCAATATATATTACTTTTACCTACTTTTAAAGGTCGGAATGTGCGAGTCAGGGACGGAGTGGTAAACTTTGGTCTGTAGCTTCCGTGGTGTAGCAGCAAGATGTGTCTATTTCCTAGATCATACACAACATTTCGACGTCTTTACTTTTAACGTATAGAATAAAGAAAAAGACTGAAAGGAGAGACTCACACAATTTTCGCAAGCTCATCATAATCAGTTACGTGTATACCTTTATTCCGAAAGTACATTTACGTTATACTACCTTATCGCGTGATAGAGGGAAAGTGAACTTCGGATAAATACCGGTGATCTGGTGTAAATGATGTGCATTGTACATGGTATCAAAAGTGCGACAACCCATGCCCAAAGCCTGGCCACGGCACCAATTTTCAATCGGACTGGCACGCATTCTTGTCATATCTTCGTTTCTATTAATCTGACAGCTGTCACAACAATATGCCAAAACACTGGTGCAGATCCCAGCTGCATGTGTGACGCGCGATTAGTCAGTTGATATTCCTATGATGAAGGATGCGAAATTCCATCCATTTTTTATCCACAATGAACAATCTACCACTCCGCTTAGATGGCTTGCCACTGATCACCTTCAAACCGGAAGTGTACATGCACCCTAGTGTACCAAGAGACCCCAAAATCTCGTTTGTTTTTGTGTTTTGTTCTTGAAAACGATGCGTTCTGATGTTGGTCGACAAGGGCAGTTCAAAACAAGTGACGTTTTACATGCGCTGCTTAGCCTTTCGCTAAAAACTTTCCGAAGATATCTTCTCTGTTCACATGCTTGATGCTGGATAAGATGACCCGACTAGTATTTTGTAGAATGCTAGGAAGTCATATTTGGTTTGGTCTGGAAACACTAACCGATGTGAGGATGTAGAAGGAAGACACTTAATCCAGTAGCTCCAGTTACATCAAGGCAAAGGTATAGGTATTGATTACATCAAGGCAAAGGTATAGGTATTGATTAACCAATGTTTGGGTTGTGGTTCATGTTATCATCATTCACAACCTACACAAAGCCAACCTCGTCTTCAGGTTTTAGCTTCATAACAAAACAATACCTGCATGACAACATATTCAATATGATCACCTTCCTCCCCCCCTCCCCCCTACACACTATGGGGTAGGGGCGAGGGATGGATACAGTTCCTGCACCCTCAAATATACACGTGTTTGTGAAATCTGCTACGCCACTAAGCTTGCTGACAAGCTATAATCATTCTATAGATTAATGCCGTTGACAGACATTGTCACATGAGAAAACTTAAGTTAAAATCTTAAAATAAAATAAAATATAACAAGATGTAGATAAATGATGTTTAGTCTGTGACTTTATCGTGCTTCCTAACAAGTTTACAAACAAATAACCATGACCCATGTTTAATGTCACAGATGAGGTATCTGTTTACCAACAACATTAAATAACAGGTGAGTGATACAGGCCAATTGGACCTTTAATTCAATTTTTCGTCTTATAAATTACTTTTAAAACCAACTTTGTTGTCCATACTATGTGTTATTTTTGTTTGCAATTTGATGTTTTTATCATGTCTTGGCAGGTATTGAACTGTACAACGTAAAAAATAAACTTAAGTAGTTATACGCTTACTGCGTCATCATTAACATGTTCTCTCGTGTTTTATCTTCAAGAAGTATTTTTTTAATTTATGCTCGTTAAAATGAAGTATTGTATAACGACTTGGTTAATTGTAGGAACATCTACTGTGTAATGAACTATGATTAATCGATTTGCCAGGACATCGATTAAGCAATTAACCAATCAATGGACGAAAGCATAGAGGTAACAACTCAACTAATCATTTGACGGAGGCGGAGACTTGACAACCCAGTCAACCAATAGACGGGGCGGAGACTTGACAACCCAGTCAACCAATGGACGGGGCGGAGACGTGACAACCCAGTCAACTAATGGACGGGGGCGTAAACGTGACAACCCAGTCAGCCAATGGACGGGGCGGAGACGTGACAACCCAGTCAACGAATGGACCGGGGCGGAAACGTGCAACCCAGTCAACCAAAGGACGGGTCGGAGACGCGGAACCCAGTCAACCAATGGGCGGAGGGGGAGACATGACAACTCAATAAATCAATGGGCGGAGGCGGAGACGTGAAACCCAATCAACCAATGGACGGGCGGTGACGTGAAACCCAGTCAACCAATGGACGGGTTAGAGACGTGAAACCCAGTCAACCAATGGACGGGGCAGAGACGTGAAACACAGTCAACCAATGGACGGGGCAGAGACGTGAAACCCTGTCAATCAATGGGCGGAGGCGGATACATGACAACTCAATAAATTAATTGGCGGAGGCGGATAAGTGACACCGTATCAGTCAAATAAAGGAGGTGAATGCATGTCAGCGAAATCAAGGCGGTAAGCCGACAACTTATCGAAACAATGGACGGAGGTGGAGAGGTCACAATACAATCAATCACTTGACGAAGGCGGAGACATGAAACAGAATCATTCTGTTGACTGAGACGAGAAGATGACCACCTATCTCCCAACCTTCACAGGTGTGTCTCATGTTTTAGCCGGGAAAGATCAGCTTGTCACTCCCTAGGGGGAGATAGCCTCGTGTCGATTAGCACGTGTTCAGTTGTGACGTCATTAAAATGCGTCACCGGTAATTGTGACATCATCAAAAATGAATGACGATATTCCTACCCCACATGCGTTTCTGTTTAAACTACTCTCGGCGGAGTTGTGACTGAAATAATAGGGTGGGAGAAAAATAATCATCCCCTACCTTAAGGGTGTAACAGAAATTTCCAACCCTCGGGTGATTTATTTGGTTGTCAAACCCTCGGCAGAGCCTCGGGTTAGACACCCAAAAAACATCACCCCTTGGGTTCGAGATTTCTCTGTTACATCCTCAGGGTAGGGAAATATTCTATAAGTCATATCTACCCTAACGACATGCAAAGCTTCATAAACCGACAAACAGTGGAGGAGACGTGACGTCCAATCAATCAATGGATGGTGGCAAACACGTGACGTCCAATCAATCAATGTGTGTATGGTGTTGAACACGTAATCATTGACAAGTGATAACAAATCAATCCGTGGACGCTCGTTAAGACGTGACAACTCAAGCATTGGGCGGTAGCGATAATGGGACAACGTGACTTCTCAATAAACCAATGGACAGTAGCGAACATATGACATATCAATCATTCTAACACGATTCGTTTGCAACGCGTGTTTTGATTGGATACGGACCATGTTCTAATCTGCAATAGAATCATGATCGATCGTGTTAAGCTCCTCCCATCGCACTTAAGCCGCCTCCCGTTTCTAACCAAAACAATATTGCGTCAAACTCGCCTCTTAGCGAAATTCCGCTGATAAGGCTAGCAGGCAGCAGAATAGAAACATTTCACATGTGTCGCATGAATTTACACTTCACAAATCTATACAAATAATCACCTATTTTGTCGATAAGCACAGATTGGTATGCATACTGACATGGAAATGTAAGAATTTTGTCAATATTAGGCCTAATCCAAATGTGTCTGCGGGGCCAAATGACCGATTTTTGAAAGCTTCTTTCCGATTGGTCAGTCCGCTGCAGAATGACACGTTGCCGGTTCAGGTCACAGAGTACTTAACTACGTATTTTTGTACAAGAAAATACGATGTTTCTAAACAAATTAGCGTGGTATGTTTGTTAAGGTGTGTTAGAATAGGGATAGTACGTTGATTTTCGTGTCTATACTGGCGATTAGAACATGCTCATGTTATAATCGCCAGTATAGAAACTCAAAACAACGTACTAACCGCTTTACCAATAATGGAACGTCAATGTGAATCTTGATCAACCGATGGACGGTTGCGAACATGTTGACATATCAATCAACCAATAATGGACTGTGACTAACACGTGACATCTTAATCAACCGATGGATGGTAGTGAACATATGACATATCAATCAACCAATAATGGAATGTGACTAACACGTGACATCTTAATCAACCAATGAACGGTAGCAAACATGTTGACATAACAATCAACTAATAATGGACTGTGACTAACACGTGACATCTTACTCAACCGATGGACGGTAGCGAACATATTGACATATCAATCAACCAATAATGGACTGTGACTAACATGTGGCATCTTGATCAACCAATGGACGGTTACGAACATGTTGACATATCAATCAGTCAATAATGGACTGTGACTAACACGTGACATCTTGATCAACCAATGGACGGTAGTGAACATATGACATATCAATCAACCAATAATGAAATGTGACTAACATGTGGCATCTTGATCAACCGATGGACGGTAGCGAACATGTTGACATATCAATCAACCAATAATGGACTGTGACTAACACGTGACATCTTAATCAACCAATGAACGGTAGCGAACATGTTGACATATCAATCAACTAATAATGGACTGTGACTAACACGTGACATCTTACTCAACCAATGGACGGTAGCGAACATATTGACATATCAATCAACCAATAATGGACTGTGACTAACATGTGGCATCTTAATCAACCAATGGACGGTAGCGAACATGTTGACATATCAATCAACCAATAATGGACTGTGACTAACACGTGACATCTTAATCAACCGATGGACGGTAGTGAACATATGACATATCAATCAATCAATACTGGAATGTGACGAACACGTGCCATCTTAATCAACCGATGGACGGTAGTGAACATGTTGACATATTAATCAACCAATAATGGACTGTGACTAACACGTGACATCTTAACCAACCAATGAACGGTAGCGAACATGTTGACATATCAATCAACCAATAATGGACTGTGCCTAACACGTGACATCTTAACCAACCAATGAACGGTAGCGAACATGTTGACATATCAATCAACTAATAATGGACTGTGACTAACACGTGACATCTTAACCAACCAATGAACGGTAGCGAACATGTTGACATATCAATCAACCCATAATGGACTGGGACTAACACGTGCAATCTTAATCAACCGATGGACGGTAGCGAACATGTTGACATATCAATCAACTAATAATGGACTGTGACTAACACGTGACATCTTAATCAACCAATGTACGGTAGCGAACATGTTGACATAGGAAACAACCAATAATGGACTGTGACTAACACGTGACATCTTAATCAACCAATAATGGACTGTGACTAACACGTGCCATCTTAATCAACCAATAATGGACTGTAACTAACACGTGACATCTTAGTCAACCAATTGACGGTAGCGAACATGTTGACATATCAATCAACCAATAATGGACTGGGACTAACACGTGCAATCTTAATCAACCGATGGACGGTAGCGAACATGTTGACATATCAATTAACCAATAATGGACTGTGACTAACACGTGACATCTTAATCAACCAATGTACGGTAGCGAACATGTTGACATAGGAAACAACCAATAATGGACTGTGACTAACACGTGACATCTTAATCAACCGATGGACGGTAGCGAACATATGACATATCAATCAACCAATGATGGACTGTGATTAACACGTGACATCTTAATCAACCAATGGGTGATGACTAATATGTGACATCTCAATAAACCAATGGACGATGACTAACACGTGACGTCTCAATAAACCAATGGACAGTGGGGAACACGTGACGTCTCAATAAACCAATGGACGGTGACTAACACGTGACGTCTCAATAAACCAATGGACGGTGGCGAACATATGACATCTCAATCAATCAATTAAGCAATGAATGTTTTATCAGATGTTGTTATCGACCTATAACACACATTGTTATTGATGACAAACTAAAAACAAAACCCGGCAACATTATTTATGTTTACATTTTGATAGAATTAATTGATCAATCAATGTAATTGATGACGTAACAATAGCAAATGTTGTTAAAGTCAACATTCGTCTTCTCAATGCATTGCAATAAAAGGATTTAACATTGAAATATCCCGTGATCAGTTAACACATAAAGGATATTCCTAGTTTCTTAATAGAATAACAGACAAATCAAGACATATTGTTATTTTCATAGTTTACAGTTCTTTAATTAAATGTTTTAAGTGATGGTTGATTAGGAATACAACGCCAATCGTATTACAAAACAAACAAATGATTTCATTTAAGTTTTACCAATGTTTTGTAAGTATGTACCAGAAACAAATGTTACCGTTTGAGCTGCTGTAGAACAAACATGGAAGTAGTTGGAATGGCGATGTGTAATTTGCTCAGCTCGTACTGTATAACAAGGTATCAGAATCAGGTCTAGCCAAACGGCTGACGGCGGAGGGACGCAGCGGCAGCAGTGATCGAACTGACAAAAGTGAAATCTTCTCCACGTTTGATGTCTACGTGGAGTTGTATACAATTTCTAACATATTTTAGGGAGGCATTTTGTCAGATTTTCAAATGCAAAAACACTCTCTACGATGACCCTAATATCGTACTTCTTCCAATCATAAGCTCACATATCACACATTGACTGTAACATGGTTGTATGGGGAACAATTCCGTGGGTTCGTCTAACGTGACCATGTTCCCATTCTATTCATTTACTGTATATCCTTCCTAAAGGATTTTAGTGACTTACGAGGAA